CTACTCCGTATGCAACATGCTATTTTTTCTCCAAACGAATGGGGTAAGTTCGGGGGCAAGTGAATGGTTGAGCGGCAGTAAAAGTACGAGCGGCACTAAAAGTACTTCTACTGCCGCTCCAGCGGCACTAAAAGTACTTTTGCTGCCGCTGGGGTTGCCAAGCAGCCGCTGGATTTGACTAGCAGCATAGAAATCAAATTTCTGATATCTTGACAGGAGTTAACAAAGTGACGTTTTTCTGACGTTTGGAGAAAAATTACTTTTTTTGCAGAAGATCATTGATTAAAAAACCGCATAGAAATTAAATTTAAAAAATTATTTGAGAAAGTTACACACATTCAAAGTTGGGATGAAAATCATGGACTCTTTTAACACCCTGTATAAAAAAAATTAAACATTTAAAAAAAATTCTAAATAGCAGTTTTTTTCACAAAAAGTCAATCTGTCAAGCCCGTGAAAACCGCAGGTCGATATCTATTCTGGTTCCAAAAATATCGATATTGAAAGTTAGGCGATATTTACCTTGTTCGAAAGCAATTGTCCAGCAGTTTATTTTCCAAGCAAAATCATGCTCAAAATATTTTGGATAGTTTAATCGATTAAATTTAAAGCTCTTGTGATATAATATAATATGATTATTTCATTTATTTACGACTAATGTATAATGTGCGTATTATATTTGTGATTTTGGCAGTATAATGACATACATATGTTATTCCTCCAGGGATTGATGACGAGTAGCGGGATTAATGGTCATTATTCCACAAAAGTGTCAGTGTCAAACGTGTAGTGCTTGTGGATTTGGATTGAAAATTATGAGACGGATGAAATTTGTTCATTGAAAATCTCAAATAAATTAATTTGTCGTAAATAAAGTAGAGTATACTACTCGCAATAATGGCTATTATTCCCTCGGAATGTTACTCCCTCGCCGCTAACGCGGCTCAGTTCGTAATATTCCTCGGGAATAATAGCTATCATTATTGACTCGTGGTATAATCTACTATTATTATAAAATAGACCCATCAGACGTCATTTTTTGAATGAATTTTGTTTAAATAAGTGACTATTTCACAAGACCTTGTTTATCAGCGATTAAATTTTTGTTTACCTTTTTTGACAGAATTTTGATAGAAATATTCTAACATTTTATAATAAATAGAACTCTTTGGATAGGATTGACGCCAATAATTTAATCCTAATTATTCAGGAAAATCTAGCCGTATACCACGACCTATAAATTTATAGTAGATTCTACCACGAGTCAATAATGATAGCTATTATTCCAGAGGATTATTACGAACTGAGCCGCGTTAGCGGCGAGGGAGTAACATTCCGAGGGAATAATAGCCATTATTGCGAGTAGTATACTCTACTTTATTCACGACAAATTAATTTATTTGAGATTTTCAATGAACAAATTTCATCCGTCTCATAATTTTCAATACAAATCCACAAGCACTACACGTTTGACACTGACACTTTTGTGGAATAATGACCATTAATCCCGCTACTCGTCATTAATCCCTGGAGGAATAACATATGTCATTATACTGCCAAAATCACAAATATAATACGCACATTATACATTAGTCGTAAATAAAATGGATTAAACTATCCAAATATTTTTTGAATAATTTTGCTTTTTGGCAAATAGTTTCATGCACAATGACTTTTAAATAAAAGCCCTCGACCGCTTAAGCGGTCTCGGGCTTTTATTAGGTTATTGTGCATTCAACTATTTTCCAAGCAAAATCATGCTCAAAATATGTTGGATAGTTTAATCGATTAAATTTAAAGCTCTTGTGATATAATATATGATTATTTCACAAGACCTTGTTTATCAGAGATTAAATTTTTGTTTACCTTTTTTGACAGAATTTTGATAGAAATATTCTTTTTTTTATAATAAATAGAGCTCTTTGGATGGGATTGACGCCAATAATTCAAATTCTCCGTTTGGCCTATTTTGAATGCTAAGTTTGTTACATGTTTATGTACTGTAAACAAGTCAGAGCTGATGTTTTTGGCTTCGTTTTGTGGAATTAGTTCAATATTTTTATATATTCTCTATTCTCTGGAGGGCATCTAGTATTTCGTTTAGAATTATTTCTGTGTTGTTCGGGACATAATGTTCATATGTACCGACTTCTACTTTGTTACTTGTAACAGGTTCTAAATAATCCAAATTGGGCTTTCTTATTTTGTTTCTGTTCTCCATTGCTGCAGGACTTGAACCAGATCTTGTTCTTTTATGAGAGCTAATATTGGAAATTTCTTGTTCTACTACCTCATTTTCATCATTATTAGCCTCATTTTGCTGCTCATTGTATGTTTCAATATTCTGGGGTAGTGTGCGTGAAAAACAATTTTTTGGTTTAAAGATCGACTCATCATCCAAATTAGAGTCGAGCGTGCTAAAACTCTCCTTAGACGCACCAACATTTTTATCAGGCTGCAGTCTAGAATTTTGGCTACTGTTATCATTTATGTTTATATCATTGTTATCTTGGGTCTTTTTTTGCTTGGGATTATTAAGATATGGTTCTGGTTGTTTGGGGTTTTTTATATTGACTCAACTAATTTTATTTATATCGGCATGGCTGAAATTAATTCTATCTATTCTAGAAATACCTGGCTCATTATCTGGTTTAGTACCATATACCTAAAACGAAGGAGAACGAGGTTATGAACTGCGCTTGCGTTAAGCTCTAGATTCTTATTGGCCGGTGGTTACCATTTTGCATTAAGCTTTTCGTGCCGTGTTGTCATACAAGCTAAAAAGTACAATGAATTAGGATCATTTCTGAGGTTATAATTTGGTCGATTGTATTTTGATTCCAAAACACTAATAAAAATGAATAAATTGGTTTATTTGTCGAAATCGAGTATGTTACACGCACCAAAATACAAAATTCGTCATGTTTCTTGTGAATGTTTAAATAACTCGAAGATGAAAATAATTTTATTGGCAATCCTGCAATATCAGCTGTTTAAAATGAAATCTTACTGGAGGAATCAACTTCAAATTGCCGCATGCGCATCGTAAAAACAAGTTCACTTTAGACAAAGAAGGCATCGTTCTATCTCATAATGTTTGCTTCAAGAACTCAAACCAACCCGCGATATACGTAGCTTAGTTTAATAAATATACACTGTGTCCGTAAAGTAACGGATAAATTCATTATTTTGAAAACGGTGGAATTTTTGAAAAATTGCTCAGACACGTCAATTTTGTTTTTTTGCTTGAAATTTTTTGATATATTTTTCATTATACAGGTTGTCTCAAAAATAGCTCTGCTGCTATCAACTTTGTTTTTTCAAGTGGATCAATCTGTATATTATGACATTTATGGATTCTGCGGGAAATTTTTGACATATTTCATGTACAATGTCATATACCTATCTTCAACTGTTTCGGAAATATTGACAGTTGAAAATTGATTTTTTTGCCACTTTGACAGGTTGTAAAACCTGAACAGTTAATTTTAGAGGAAAACCTATTTCACGTTCCTATCTTAGATTTTCATAAACTATCATTTGACACCATCGAGCTTTAAACCGCTAGAGAGATCAACAAGCATATTTGTTTGGTTCCATAATGAGGTAGCGGGGTCAGAGGGGTGATTCAAACAAAACGAAAAAAGGCCCTGTTGCCGAATTTTTTCCTGTTCGAATAATAATCTCGATAATAATGAATATCGTCATCTATCGAAAAGTATCTATTTCAAATTTGTCTGCTTATAATAATATTTATAATATACTTGCGACTTTTTAAGTCTATACTTAAAATAATTCTAAAACAACAATACCTTTTATCACGACTCAATTTGGTTTTAAATGGAACTACGTACCTACTTCTAAAGAAAGATTTTACAGTCTGGCAATGACTTAGTAATTATTTTGTGTTCTCTCCTTTCTTGTGACAAATCAGCTGACTGCGTTCGAGAACCTGGTGTGTCGTATAAAAATCACACAGCTGCCGTTCGGAAAGGCGAAGTGTGGATTAAAATCATATGGTTTTCGGCGTTCGGAAGGGTGTTTGACACGTATTGATGTGCGCACCGAATACTCTAGAGTGAAATTTAAGCTCACATTTTGAAGATGCATTCCCTGAAATAATTTCCACACCTACAACCAGGTTTTCGAACGCAGCTCTCTGATACCCAAAACATAAACAGACTGGTTTATAAACATTCTATTTTCATAAGTGCAAGAAAGAGGGCCTGTTCTCATTCTGCAACCAAACAAATTCTATAGCACATTATTATCGTTATTAGTCTAGAGAGAGAGAGTGTTCAATGGTCGAAGTTTGACACCAACTTTGAATTTACCCGGAGATTAAATTTAACCGGAATTTTTAATCACGGATTAACTTCAAAGTTGGTGTCAAATGATAGTTTATGAAAATCTAAGATAGGAATGTAAAATCGGGTTTCCTCTAAAATTAACCGTTCAGGTTTTACAGGCTTTCAAAGTTGAAAATAAATCAATTTTCAACTGTCAATATTTCCGAAACAGTTGAAGATAGGTATATGACATTGTACATGAAATATCTCAAAAATTTTCCGCAGAATCCATAAATATCATATTATACAGGGTGATCCATTTGAAAGAACAAATTTGATAGCAGTGGAGCTATTTTTGAGACACCCTATACAATAAATAATATATCAAAAAATTTCAAACAAAAAAACAAAATTGACGTGTCTGAGCGATTTTTCAAAAATTCTACCGTTTTCAAAATAATGAATTTATCCGTTACTTTGCGGACACACTGTATGTTTAGTACACTCTTATTCAGTATTTTTCCTCGTGGATTCCTCCATTTCCTCCCTACCATCACTATTTAATTCCATGGTAAAATACCAAGTAATTAATTCGGATCAACACAGCTAGAAATCGCAAAAATACAGAGCAAAATTTTAAACATGTCCAGTCGCTACGCGCGCTGACAAAAAAAAAAAAAAAATCTAATACATAGTATTTATTCCTTTTAGGACTCTTCTATAATCAAATACACAACTCTTCCACCAAGTCAGCTAAAACTTAAGCCTCTATACAGAGCTACGGAAATGTCTGGAGCTGAATTGTTTGCGAGGCTTCAAACCGAAGCCGACAATTTGCGAAAAGAAAAAAAACGAAACACCTATTCGGGAATTCATAAATATTTGTATCTTGTCGCAGGGAAACCAACTTTCCCTTGTTTGGTAAATGAAAAAGGAGATGTTATTTCTTTTCCACCAATCACAAATTCCGATATTACTAAGGTAGGTAACTAATAAGTGCAATTTTATTAGAGTACAGTTTTTTAAAATGTTAACTTTTAGATTGAACCAACTACGACCCAAATATTTATAGAAGTGACCAGTTCTTTAACGCAGGTTGTCTGTAAAGCTGCGTTAAATGAAATAATTAAAGAATTAGTGAATTTGCTCGGAACAGATCTGGAAGTGCAGCAAGTGCGGATATTAGATCAAGAGGAAAAGCTTAGACTAGTTTACCCTGGAAAAAATGACTTGAAGTTTGGTGAACATATCCCCATTAAAGTTACTCGAATAAGATAATGTTATTTTGTTTTCCATTTCATTTGGGTATTATTACTATTAAGTTTATATTTTCTTTTGCTTTGTAAAATTTAAAAATTTGGCTTTAACTCATGTCAAGTAATTGATATTTATTTTTTAGGGTCTTTGAAGGATCTTCTCTGAAAGTTACCTTTAAGGCCAGACTATTAACTTTTTTTTTCAATTTCTGCTTGCTACTATAGGATCAAATCATTAGCTATTTTTAGGCATTTTTTTTTTGAAGTATTTCTATTTCTGATATTCTTTTATAACCAATAAAGTTTTATTTTCTTAAAACACAATACAATAAATGTTTCTTTTTTTTATGATCTACAAACAATAGCAAAAATTAATTATAAGCTAAGGGTACTTAAAATATAAATATGATCTATTTTGAATAAATTAATAATTAAAAATGCGCAACATCACAATGGACAAAAATAAACGTAATATTTCCTTACTAAATAGAACAGACTAGACATACAATATTTTATTCAAGATTTTTTGGTAACATCAATCTGAAAGATTCTGCACTTTTTATGAAAGTACTTGTCACAACACAGGGAAATTTAGTTTTTAAGTGTTATCTGGGTAAGTTAATACAACTGGATAAGCTCATTGTTGTCTCTATCCAGTATTACCTAACAATTTATTCACTTTTCTTGGCCAATGCTTTACGTTCATTTATATCAATAATGGCAAGATTTTTGGAGGCTACCACACAATGCAGCAATGATATAAAAGTTTTACCTATCATAATTGGAGCTGAAAGGTACAAGATAACCCTGAAGAGCGATAGACCTATGACTACAAAAAAAAAACATAATTAATGAAAGTAGAAATACTAATGAAAAATCTTACTTATTGGTCCTTCAGTGAAGTATAGGAGGTACAGTGCAGCAAAAAATGCCTCATTTCCGGCACACATGATAAACAAAACTTGTCTGTTTGTATAATATATATTCATTATAGGGTTCTCAGACATATCGATGAACTTGTGACTTTGCTTTCCTTGCAAAATGCTCCTAAAATTGACAAAATAAATTACATTCTCAATTATTGTAGCATTAATGCATTACGAATGCAGATAAATCCAATGGCATGCAATGTCGATGCACATAGAGAGCAATAGAGGGAACATGTATTTAGGATATAAATGAGCAAGTACTGCTACTAGCCCCATGGTACCGCATCTATCAGTTAGCTGATCCAGCATTGCGCCAAATTTGGTTCCTTGATTAAAGTATCTAAAATTAAACATTACATTAGATTATTGTATTGTTTTGTTAGGGTTTATTTAATGTACTTACCTTGCAGCATGTCCATCGAATGCATCAAGTAAAGCCGAAACTATGTAGCAAGTAGAGGCGATAATATGGTTTGTCGGCATAAAGTAAAAGGCAATAACTGCCAGTATAATCCTGGCATATCCTAAAATAATAAATTTGTTAAAATAAACAAATAAAGTTGATTTATTATGGCATTATTTATATGGGAATTTGATTACCTTACCAATAATATTTGGCACAAATATGAAAATATTTTCTTCAGTTTCACTCATTTTTCAAATTCTTTCACGGCTTCACTAATTAAATAAGTATTTAAATTAATTAACAGTACAAGGACAAGTTTTTTTTTCAAATTTATTGACAAAATTCGAATGGTGACTGGGGACGACCGGAATTTTTAAGAGTGACATGTGACAACGACCAGAAGTCATAACAGTGGCGTACTTATGGGCGCTTTCTTTTATTCAGCGGTGGATCCATGGGTAATCAGCCTCTCTTTGTCTAGCTCATAGAAAATTGGAATGTCTGTCTCATAATGCTGGCAGCAGATGGATCCATTGCTGAATAAAAGAACGCGCCTTATCTTTTCTAAACATACCGTGCGTCCAGTATTTTGATCTGTGAGTTCTCCGAGCTTGAATTTACCGTTCGTTTATTTAAAAAGTATACTCGGTGCAGGCTCATTCGCGTTCGTTTATTAAAATTTCTGGCGGTGGTAAAACGCTTCAGTGCAACACGTTAGTTTCTTATGAGCTGCATTTCTAATGTTGAAGTTAGCCTTTTTGGAGCATCCTATCAATATGGCGGCCTAAGGGCGGGTATTATAAAACTACTTTGAGAGTTAACTTAAAGTTAACTTCTGAAAATACATGTAATTGAAAAAGTTAACTTCAAGTTAACTGTCAAAGCAGTTTTATAATACCCGCCCTAAATCAAACAGTGAAATTAGCGCCATAAGGATTTTATTTACCTTTTGGTGGATTCCTGTTTCATTACAGTTCGTTTTAAAACTGGTATAAAAAGTACTGGTTGACAACAAAGCGCGGGAAGCGCGCTTTGTTTTTGAAATTCAATATTAACATACGGACTAGCACACATTACATGGACGGGTTAGTTTGGGATAGTTTGCATATTTTTGGTTAGTTTCGTTGCAATTCGTTTAATACTGGTTCTAAGTAATTGTACTGGTTACACTGATAGCAACCAATAGTGGGGAATTTTCGTAGTTGACTTTAGGTGGGCCTAATCGTCAATTTTGCATATAATTTTCCAATGGAAAATCTACATTTTCTGAATTTATTTATAGCTTACATGTTTCTATTTGAAAATGCCGTTTTTATTGAGACCCATAAGTTACCAAATCCAGAAGATTTTTTACGTTTTTGGTGGATCGACGTTTCCAATAAGGGTTTTCTCTTTGAGATTTAGCGAGCGCAGCGAGCCATTCTAGACTTTAAAATAAACTAAGCAGCAGATGAAGTGGGACACCCAAAAAATTGCCTTATTTTGACTTGCTATAACTTCTACATTTTTTTGCCGATCTTGGATTGTGAGCCACTGTTACAAAGCGCCATCTTTGGTCCATGTGTCAGTGTCGTCGTACATTTTTAATCCAAAAAATTCCTTCTCCTTATACAGGGTGTGAATGTAAGGCGGCGAAAAATTTTCATTTTTTGGCGAAGAATATGGGAAAGATGGGGGGGGGGGGGGTCCGATAAAGTTCTTTCTGATGTTGGGTGAATCACTGGGTCAACACCTCGGGACGTCTTTGCCATTTTTTCGATACATCGCGTTGCTATCGAAATATGGCCATTTTATGGTATTTCGTTTTTCTCTTGAAATTAGCGATTCTTTAATTGAACAATAACAGATTCCGTCTAAATTGCATCAAGGAATGACTTGTATTGAAAATGGCAACCCCAGCGGCGCGCAGAAGGGGGTCTATGAAATTATAATAAATAAAATCGATTTATTTGAAAATTTTAACGGTTTTGTTAAGCGTTACAGTTTAAAAGGTGTTATAAATAACTGTGATGAGTTTGATTTTGAGATTCAGAGGCGTTTGGTGAAAAAAAAACAGCATTTTTCATTTTCTTCCATTTTATTTAATGTTAACGTGATACGAACAAACCTTGTAAAGCATTGCCATCATGTAATGCATTTTCTGTCAAATTTTGAATTGCCATGGTCCAAATGGCGCGACTTACGAGTGCTGATGTAGAGAATATTTTAATATTGCAGTAGAGAAATCATACAATTAGAGAGATTTCTGACTTACTTAATGTCAATAAATCGTCCGTGCGGGAAGAGCGTTGCAAAGAGAAGCAAACAACGGTACTGCTGCGTAGGTACCGACACGGTGGAGGATCTCAAAAAAGAACAAATCCTCGTCAGGATCGACTAGTAGTACGTACTGCGGTTGGAAATAGAGTTTGGACTGCCAAGAGAATCCAAGCATCTGCTGCAGTTGAATGTTCCAGCAGACACCATTAGAAGGCGCCTACATGATCAGGGATTAAATGCTCGCCGTCGGGCAAAGTCCCACTTTGTACGAACATTGATCAGGCGAACAGAAAAAGATGGGCCCCGGAATACCTGAATTGGGATTTTAGGTGGAGAGACTGTCTTTTCGTTGATGAATAACGTTTCAACCCGTACAATTCCGACGGCCGATTGCTAACTTGGTGGAGAATGGGGAGATTTTTACAAGAAATCTTGCGTTCCCAAGTTGCATTTGGCGGTGGAGGACGGACAGTTTGGGGGGTATTCAACACAACGGAAGGATAAAACTCGTAGCGGCAATATTACCGGCCAAGTCTACCTGAATGAATCTCTGATTCCGCAAGTTCTCCCACATGCTCGAAATTATGGCGGGGGTTTTGTTCTTGTTAGACGATAATGCTCGGCCTGCAATGGCAAAATCTCAATCGTACCGAATTGCCTCCTAGATCCTCAGACATGAATCCGATTGAGCACGTCTGGAGCTGGATGAAGTTACAGCTTTCTCGGGGAAAACGTCAGCCAAAAACTCTAGACGATCTCGAGGAGATGATTCTGGAGCTCTGGAAGTCAGTTCCTATGGAGCTAATTAATCGCTTAATTCTGAGCATGCCAAGGCGGTGTCAGGTAGTGATTCAGGCTAGAGGAGGACCAATGCCTTACTAAATAAAAATAATTAACTATTGTATTAGCTTTTTATGTAAAAATGCATAATAAAGTCTAAAAAAATGGGGAAAAAATGTTTTTCTATACTGAACGCCTCTGGATATCAAAATCAAACTCGTCACAATTATTCATAACACTTTTTAAATTTTAACGCTTAACAAAACTCAAAAATTTCAGATAAAATCGATTTTTTTTATTTTAATTTCATAAACCCCCTTTTGCACGCCGCTGGTGTTGACCATTTTCTGGGTGAGTTCGTTTTAGCCATCGCGGAGCGGATGAGACCAGACAGATTTTTTGATCACCTGACCCTGGAGTCATCTAGATGCTTGCCAATTTCCGAACGGTAGAGATTTGTTAGAGTTGTCCGTCAGAGTCATTAACTATGGTCATTAATGACATACTTTGTCAATAGTTGATAGTTGGGTACTCGCAAACGGCAACAATATGGAAATTAGTCGAATTTTTCCAGTGGTTATTAATTTTGCTAATGAAATATTCTTTGATGATGAAAAAGAACGCATGGAGGAACCGAAAGTTGTAAATTTTGTGGAACATGTTGTTCATTTCTTCAACGACCAACAATTCCGAAGACATTTCCGGATGAATCCATCAACGATGGAAAACTTACTCCAGAAAATTGGAACCATTGTACCAGAGGCTCCTGTTGTTAGGGGACACCCTAAGCTGCCATTAGAAAAGCAGCTTTTGCTAACAATATGGTACTTAGCAAATATAGAAAGTTTTCGGTAAGTCTTAACATATCAATAGTATTAGTTAATGTAGGTATCTATAATTACCTATTTGTAAAAATTTCAAGTTGTGCTTTTTTACTTGTAGCTCAGTAGCTCAAGATTCGATGTAACAAAATCTACAGCATGGGCAGTGTTAATGAGGATGGGTAAATTGATTTTGTTGGTGAACACACACTTTAAAATAATTTCTTGGCCCTTCAGAGAAAGAGCGATTGAAATACCCAACAGTTTCCAAAATATTAATGGATTTCCAGGTACGTTGCTAGGTAAACTTTATTCAAAAGAATTGTCAAGAAGTATGGTGGCAAACAGAATTCAGATGTACGCTGGAACAATTATTAATATTAAACTAAAAAATATTTTTTATTTTATTTTTAGGAGTAATAGGCTGCATCGACGGGTCACACATACAAATTTTGGCCCCGAAGGAAAATCCTGTTTCATACATAAATAGAAAAAAATTTCATTCTGTCTTACTCCAGGCAGTCTGTGATAATAGGAAAATGTTCACAGACGTATTTACAGGAGTACCAGGATCCTGCCATGATGTGAGACTATTCCAAATGTCAGATTTATCTGAGCGAATAAGGACAGAGATTGTCCAATTTCCTAATGATACACATATCATAGGAGACTTAGCCTATACACTTACAAAGACACTCATGGTTGGGTTCAAGGACTTGGGTAATTTAACTGATCCACAAAAAAATTTCAACAAGAAATTATCCGAGATAAGAGTTATTATTGAGCAAGCCTTTGTTCTTTTGAAAGGCCGATTTCGACGCCTGAAATACTTGGAAACTGTTAGATTGGACCTAATTTGTTTATTTATTATGGCAGCATGCATATTACATAATGTATGTATTTTGAATAATGATAATGCAGAAGAGATAATACATTTAGCTCAAGAAATAGAAGAAGAAAGGGTTATACAAGAGGCAGTACATATGAATGTTGAAAATGCCCCTGCAATAAGGAGAGAAGCAGTTCAGAAGAGAAATAATTTAATGAATAATTTATTGTTATAAAGTTTAAACACTGAATTTTGTTTTTTTTTTTCAGTAAATTCCATTAACATCAAGCGAGAATATCTTTTGTGTTTGCCCTAGTCTCGAAAAAGTAATAAGAACATTTTTCAATTGCTTAACAAATTTATTTATGGTAACAGAACTCTTAGAACTCTACAACTTTCTATTTTTTAACTAAGAAGAACCTATACTGAGGAAGAAAATAATAATTCAACTTCTAGCATAGAAAATTTGGTATAAATGAAGGAGATCACTGGATCACTCACAGCCCTTGTACTCTTGTACAGTAAATCACTTATTTTTCATGGTATTCACCAAATCTTCGAACAAATCAAGAAATCGATCTTGGCGTTGCATTTTGTCCTTATGGCGCTTATCGACAGTATTTTCATATCTTGCTCTTTTTCTGCCCAAGTTGCCAGTTCTTTTGGGGGTGTCATTCTCTATGTCATTAAAGTCAGTAGTATTTTCTTCACAATCTACATCTCGAAAGCAAAATAATTAATCTAGTTCTCTGAAAAATAAAGTTCATGTTAAAACTGTACCTACCTGTTGAAGTAGTGGCTGTTGCACTGTTGTTAATTTTGAGCCCTCTTGAACTGCTACACGTTACAGGGGGAACTATCTCAGGTTTCTTGTACATGAACTCATCCATCTTATTGAAAAATATCCATTTTTTTGCATCATTTCCAGACTTTTCATTATGTTGTTTGATATTTTTGTACATATCTTTCAGCCCTTTCCACTTTGTGTCACACTGCTGTGCACTCACATTTAATTTAGTCTGATCAGAAACAATGGTTGCTATTTTCTGCCATACATGTCTTTTAACTTTGCTTTGGAATTCGTCATCGTATTTCTTCACCAATGATATTAGAAAATTTGTAGTATCAAATGTCCAAAGCTTTGCTGTTTCTGGATGCGCATTTGATTCTCCAACTTCAAACGAATCGATGGACGTGACAAGATTTTTCTTGTGGAATCCATAGTATTTTTGTGTAAGCTCATCGAGAAATGCCTGATCTAAAAGTAGGTTTAGTGTTATCAAATTGTCAAAGCATTACTAAAATAACAAATATGTAATGATTATGGTTTTAATATATTTTGTTTTGAAGACTTATTCCAACTTACCTGTTTTTGCCCTATTTATCTCGTACTCTGTCAGCCATACTCTAAATTTAGAACCACTCGGAGTGTGGACCAGCTCCACAAGCTGGGGGCTTCCTGTATTTTCCATTGAATATAGAGAAAATAAAATAATTATTGATGGTTGTGTGTTATTGCTGTTTTTCGGCTGTCATCAGTACTGTCATCTGAACGCTCGGTCAATAAGCTCCGACGAAAACGAGGGTCCTCTGAGACATCCAGATGTTTAAAAACGAACGCAGATTTATTTACCTCCAACACGTCAGAAACAATAAACGAACGCATTTAGAGACATTCGAGGCGTCCGACGACTAAAACGAACTCGGCCTCTATACAAGTCATTCCTTGATGCAATTTAGACGGAATCTGTTATTGTTCAATTAAAGAATCGCTAATTTCAAGAGGAAAACTAAATTCCATAAAATGGCAATATTTCCATAGCAACGCAGTGTATCGAAAAAATGGCAAAGACGTCCCGAGGTATTGACCCAGTGATTCACCGAGCATCAGAAAGAACTTTATCGGATCCCCCATCTTTCTCATATTCTTCGCCAAAAAATCGAAATTTTTCGCCGCCTTACATTCACACCCTGTATAAGGAGAAGGATTTAAAAAAAAAATGTACGACGACACTGACGCATAGACCAAAGATGGCGCTTTGTTACAGTGGTTCACAATCCAAGATCGGCAAAAAAATGTAGAAGTTATAGCAAGTCAAAATTAGGCAATTTTTCGGGTGTCCCACTTCATCTGCTGCTTAGTTTAATTTAAATTAAAAAAAAATGCTTGTCTTTTGCCGCCATATTGCTCTCTTCTGCCAGGTTGGATTGTCAATGTCATTATTGCGCAGCCTTCTACTACGCGGCGGTTCAATAACAAGTCTCTATTCTTATTATTCCGCCGCGGTGTAAGTTTCTTCACGAAAATGTTGCCGAAATATTTCGTAAGCCAACTTTTCCTGTTTTACACGACAAGAAAAACAGACGAAATATTTCGCCAATAAACTTTCGAAAATAATCTATAGTTTTTGTGGGCGCGGCCGAGAAAATGCGTGAGTTTCGGCGCACACAATTACAATAAGCGCGTTCTTTTTCTTCGAGCCTTATGAATCCGTCATTGGATTTTCTATGTAATAGATAAAGATAGACTGCTAATCGGTGGGTCAAGCGGTGAAAAAAGTGTGGAAAGCCAAAAGTAAACAAACTTTATTTATGGAAGGGAAATAGAAATTCAACTTTATGAAACCGCAGAAGAGTATAAAGATTCAACAAAAATTAGAAAACGCAAGTTTTATTTGTTTTGGTTCATCAACGTATGAGGTTATAATTTTATATTATTGATGGCAAAACGTTACTGCGCCGGCTTGGTTTCGCTTTTTCCTGTTTGACACGGCAAATAAAAGTCTAGCAAAAGTTTCGTGAAAATATTAGGTTTGTTCCAACCTGCAATAATATTACTGTAATATTATCGGCCGTAACCGCGCTAATGCGACTGCGCAATCAAAAACAGTAATATTATACTAAATAACTTAAAAACTTGTTGGAACGTTTTTTGAACTAGTAGTACTCACAACACAAGATGAAAATAACAAAATCAACATAACTTGCATATTTGCAGCTGAATCATCTTCCACCACAATAAGGAATTCTTCTAAACCTAATATAAGACAAAAATCAGATTTATTAACTCTGAGAACAAATAAAATAAAATTACTTAACTTCTATAGCAGTCATTTTCAAATAAATAATTTAAATAAACAAAAAACTGAGGTTCTGGGTTATGTATTATCATTTATGTTCGTTGTTGTTCAACCAACTGACCCGTTTTCGACCTCACTACGCATGCGTCTTATTTTAGAACCAACAGTTCTTCCTTTCAAGCAAGAATCGTTTGAACCGTAATTTTACTATCCGTAACTCCGGTTGGAACGACGAACTGTCAATTATCGCCAATTCTAAATTAGTAATTTTAACTGGTTGGAACTGCATTTCACAATTGCGCATGTGTGCCAGTAATATTACTGGAAATTACTGCCGGTTGGAACAAACCTATTAGTCATACGCAGGCGCAGTTACGTTTTGCCATCAAATATCAAATCATAACCTCATACTTTGATAAACCAAAACTAAAATAAAACTTCCGTTTTCTAATTGTTGTCGAATCTTTGTACACTCCTGCAGTTTCATAAAGTTGAATTTGTTTTTTCCTTCCATAAATAAAGTTTTTTTTTATTTTATTTTGCCCAGCTGTTTTTGGGCAAGGAGTTTTGGGTGCATTACTTTTTTCACCGATGAGCAGTCTATCCTTATCTATTACATAGGAAATTTAATGACGCATTCATAAGCTCCACGAAAAAGAAACTGCCTTTTAGTGTGCGCCGAAACTCACGCATATTTTCGGCCACGCCCACAAAAACTATAGAACATTTTCTTAAAGTTTATTCGTGAAATATTTCGTAAGTTTTTTTTGTCGTGTAAAGCCTATTACTCATAAATGGGAAATTCGCACTTTTTTGACATTGCTTCGACAATTTGACGTTTGATTCACGCATAAAACGTCAATTTGTCGAAGCAATGTCAAAAAAGTGCGAATTTCGCAGTTATGAGTACTAGGCTTAAAACAGAAAAAGTTGACTTCGAAATATTTCGGCAAGTAATTTCGTGAAGAAACTTTGCCGTGTAAAACGGCTCTAAGGCAAAAAACGTCAGTATCCGCACGTAAATTGATTCAAAACCAACTGTATAAAGGATATATCAAGTAATTTTTTATAGAAAATTTGTTAATTTTGGTTGCACTAATAGGCCAAGCAATGAAGGAAGTTTACCTCAACATAATTAGAAGTTAGCATTTTTTGGGGGGGATCGGTTCATTTTCATGTGCTTAATAACATATTAAGTTTGCGACCTTGTACTTCCATAGGGTTTTTAGTTAGGGGTGGTTCTTGGGGGTAATTTGCGGTTTATGGAGAACGCTGCTCAAAGGGATGGGCCAATAGCAAAAAGTTTCAAATGAATGTTGTAGCTGAAGTTTTTTGCTATAAAAAACTCAGCGACAGCACCCTTCTATCTTCTATAGTTTTTTTTCTGCAGCGTCTTAAATACTAGCATGTTTTTATTCAAGGTCACTGAATCAACGTTTTACCTTTTTGCGCGCGTTTGATGCAGCAGCGGCTAAATGCATAATCCGATTTCAATTTTTCAAACACCACTTATTGCTAATGAAATGCACTCTCCCAATTTTTTGCTTGAAAATTAAGCGAGCACCGACTTGGCTAATGTGCGAGGAAGTTGTAAATTGCATCGAAAACTACCCCTTTCTTGCATTCACTGTAATTTCTAAACGGGGCGAAATATTTGGTGACAGTTTTCGACAATCGGCAGCCCATTTATTCCTCTCATATTGCCCCAGCGGATTTTTTTTTTTTCGTTAAATACTCAATGACTTATTGGCCTGAACACGTCGCGAGGAATTTTTCAAAAAGTCGAAAAAAATTAAAATTGTCGCACGGCGCTGAAATTTGGTACGATGGCTTTTTTTATTGTTTTTATGAATATACTGAAATTTTAATTGCTTCACATGACTGCTGCAACCATTAAAATTGCAGTATATTCATGAGAACAATAAATATAGTTCATACCAAATAAACTTGTAGTTGTGACATCGATGACGCCATTTTTACAATCGTTATCGCCAACCGTGAAAATATTCGGCGTCGGATTGACTTAATTGGAATTTGAATTTCCCGCTGGCCATTCAGTTGGTAACAACACTTCAAAAAATGTAATGATGCCAAATTAAATTCTTGACATTTTGAATTTTGATTGCGTTTTGACAGTTTACGAGTTTTTGGTTCAAGTGCTATTATTTGTGAGCTAGTTTTTCAAAGCAGCTTGTAGTGTGAAGTGTACAAGATGTCGAAGCAGCTTAATAGCCGTTGCAAAGAACTAATCGCATCCTTTTTACAATATTTTGAACGAGAATGCGATAATAATAGCCCTTAAATGCTGGTAGGTGGGTGTGATCAAATAGGAATTTCCAATTTGAACTTTATTTTCTCTCATTTTTAGCGCGTAGCAGAAGCTTTGAACTTAAGTATGTCCACTGTCTGTGCTATTTCAAAGAAAGTCAAAAATAACGAAGTTTTGGAATCGCCTTCTAAGAAGCGACGCACTTCGAAGAGAGTCTGTGATGTTTCAAAGTTCGATAGCAGTGCTATACGTAACACCATTTATGATATGTATACAAAAAGTAAATCGTCTGAGATAAGGTACATAGATATCTATGAATCGCCTTCTTTCTTCTTGTAGAACAACATGTAACATTATTTTGTATTTGGGAGCAATTGAAAGCCAAACAATTATATGATGGCAGTCACATGTCATTGAGTAGAATGTTAAAAGAAATAGGCTTCAAATGGAAAAAAGATGACTGAAGACGAGGGCTCATAAAACTGCCTGATATTGCTGTTAAACACATATCATTTTTGAGGTCTTATCTAAGACTTAAGCAGGAGGCTTTGTACCAGTTTGTTTTCTTTCATGAATACAGAGAGCAGTTGTATTATATGTATAAATGAAATGCTTTTTTTAGATATATCACACTTCATACTGGCAATGAAAATAGGATTCATTGAAGGTGTATCGCTGGTACTTTCATCGAAAACTCAACGACTATCATGGGAAAATCAGAATCAGAATAATTGAAAATATTCTTGATGGTCCAAATATTCATAATGTTTAATTATTTATAGTATTTAGAGTGGCTGTAAATAAAAAAGGTACTGAGCGTTACTATTATATTTTAAGTGATGATTGACAAATGAGTTGTTATTGGATATCTATCAAACCAAGCTTTGAATCAATGTTTATAATTTAGGTAATAAATAATGTTTGCATTATATTATAATATAATCCATTATTGTTTCTGAAAATATTTTGACCAAAGGAAAATATGCAAGAGGCGGCAACGCTGTGCTGACCGAGCTTGACAACCCAACTATAAGTTTATTTGGTATGAACTATAATGCCATCGTACCAAGTTTCAGCGCTGTGCGACAATTTTCATTTTTTTCGACTTTTTGAAAAATTCCGCGCGACGTGTTCAGGCCAATAAGTCATTGAGTAATTAACGAAAAAAAAAATCCGCTAGGGCAATATGAGAGGAATAAATGGGCTGCCGATTGTCGAAAACTGTCACCAAATATTTCGCCCTGTTTAGAAATTACAGTGAATGGAAGAAAGGGGTAGTTTTCGATGCAATTTATAACTTCCTCGCACATTAGCCAAGTCCGTGCTCGCTTAATTTTCAAACAAAAAATTCGAACAAAAAAGCATTGGAGAGTACATTTCATTAGCAATAATGTGGTGTTGAAAAAATTGAAATCGGATTATGCATTTAGCAGTTGCTGCATCAAACGCGCGCAAACAGGTAAAACGTTGATTCAGTGACCTTGAATAAAAACACGCTAGTATTCAAGACGCTGCAGAAAAAAACTATAGAAGATAGAAGGGTGCTGTCGCGGAGTTTTTTATAGCAAAAAACTTCAGTTACAACATTCATTTGAAACTTTTTGCTATTGGACCATCCCTTTGTGCAGCGTTCTCCATAAACCGCAAATTACCCCTAAAAACCATCCCTAACTAAAAACCCTATGGAAATACAAGGTCGCAAACTTAATATGTTATTAAGCACATGAAAATTAACCGATCCCCCCAAAAA